TTCTCCAGTATGCTTTGGCTTAAATTCAGTCCTAGGCCTAAGATCACCGGGACCGTGAGTTCGAGCAGTTCAGGCTTTTTCAAGGAGCGTTGTTTGCGCATTTAAAGCGCACGTTCAGGGAGGGGCCGTGTACTCGTCCCAACCTGTACACCCGATGGACGTAGGGAACGCGCGCATTGCCTGCCCGTGCTGTGACAGGCCATTCCCTTCCTTTGCGGGGTGGGGCGCCCCTCGGCCCCTCGCCAGGTTGTAGCTGTCGCTGACTGGTATCCATCCGCGCTCCCGAGCGGGGGCCGGGGTTCGACCCCGGCCGCGGCAAAAATCTTTGCTTTTTTCCAAAAAACGTCCCTGAACGTGCCCTTTAATTGGAGTTTTCTGATCTGGGTGAATAGCATAGAATTGAATACGACTATCACAATCGCCAATGATTCAAAAATCCCGACAACAACTTCGAGCCGTTCAGTTCTAGAGCCAGTCGCCTCCACCGCGCCAACGATCCCCAGGAAGAGGAGAGCACGGGAGGCGGCCAGGAAAGCGATCTCCCGCCAAACATTGCCCTCGTCGCCAGCGATGATCAACAACCTGGCCCCTCTCAGGCCGGAGCAGCGGGAGGGTAAGTACAGTGCCCTTGTGCTCCACTTTCGCCCTATTTCAGGCCCCAATTCCCGCAAGGGGACGTGGAGATGCTGCTCGCCTCTGCCCACGAACAGATCGACGGGCTGGAGCTGAAGTTTGCGCGTTGTGAGGCACTGTACGGGCACGGCTACGAGCGACAGGCGATGGCCAAGGCGCTCGAGCTGGTCGCCTGCTTGAGCTCTTCGCCGCCCGACCTGTCTGCCGCGGCCGCGCTGCTGAACTTTGTTGGGCGTGGCGGGGAGGCGAGGGGGAAACGGGTGCCGACGGAGGCTGGATGGGTGAGTTGGTTAAGGTTATTTGGGCTTAGGCTTGGCTTAGGCTTAGCTTAGGCTTAGCTTAGGCTTAGCAAGGCTTGGCTGAAGCTTAGCCTAGGCTTAACTCGCCGTAGCTCTGGTTTTAACGGACGGAGACTTTGGCTTGAGTTCGAGCATGAGCTTAACTTACCCGTAGTCTGACCAGGCTTATGCTCCAAATTCCAGGACGGCAAGAAGCGTAAAGTAACGGCGAGTACAGCCCCTCTGGTTATCCACGTCAACATTGCCCCCCTCTCCCGGGACGCCAAGCTAGTCGAGGTGTCCGAGCATACGATACGCACCTTCGAACGGGCCCTCTTCCTCGCCAAGGTTGGTTTTTGTTAAAGCTCGAAAATTCGGTCTAGATCCTGAACAACGATCCGGCTAATAAAATGACGCTCTTCCACTTTTTTGCTGTTCATCCTCGAGTTGCCGCAGTGTCCAATGGCCAATCGACATCTTCAAGTCAAATTTTATCACTTGGTAAGTGGAAGTGGCTAAGAAAAATTGCCATTAATGGGTAAGTCCTTAGGTAGAGAGCGGGCTTGGCTTGATTAGGCTAAGCTTAGGCCTAGCTGAGGCTTAATTCAGGCTTAGCTTTGGCTTGGCTTTGGCTTGGCTTAAGCTTAGGTAAGACTTAACTTATACATAGCTTAGGTATAACTTAGGTTTAACCCAGGTTTTTTCTTAGGCTTGACATAGGCTTAGCTTAGGATTTTGCGTAAACTCGACTTAAGCTCTAATTACTTACTTTGTTAGCTTAAGCTCCGCATCTTTGCACATACTTCCATTTCAAAGTTTTCATTTTAATCACGAATTCACCCCCACTTTCAGGAGTCCGAGCTGCTGCTCCTCCTGCGCAGCGTGCAAATCGGCCGTGAGGAGCTCCCGATAATCCGGGAACGAGCCACCCGCCTCCATGCCAAAGCCTCAAAACCCTCGCTCCATCCCCCATCCGTGGCCCTCTGCCACTACATCTACGACTCGCTGTCGTACACGTTCAACCTGTTTCCAAATGGGCCACACGGGCCGAGCTTTGGCACTCCACAGGATACGGGCCGCGAGCCCAGCGACGACATCCTGGCGATGAAGCTGGCGTTGAGCGCACTGGGGAGTATGCAGGTTAAATTTGTAAAAATTACTGGATTCATTTCTAGATGGTTGGCTATGGATTTGCCTTCCAAGTACCTTTAATCACAGCGGGTTGTTGTAGGTATATTCTGAAGAGGACTGCCCGATGTTGGCCGAGTCGATTCGACGGCAGAAGGGCGAGCTGACGATGGCCTTGCTGGCGAGGCATCGTGATTCGAATGAGATGATTGGCCATGTTCTGGATAAGCTGCTGGATCCGAGGATACATTTGATGTATAATCCAATGTAGGTTCAAAGAAAGTGTGCAGTTTTTCGGTTCTTTCGCATTATCGGGGGGCGAAGAATCTTTTTTTCTAAGGAACCAATTTTGCAACTAGAAACAGCGGAAGTATTTCCAAAAATTTATTTTGTATTCCTAAATGTAAAAACCTAAAATTAAAAATAACAAAAAAAAAATCGTTTTTCAACGAAAAATGGCCGTTTTTGACCAACATTTCAAATTTTCGAAATTTCTTCAAAGTTTTTAGATAAGTTCTCTAGCTAAAATCAAGCTTTGTTTTACTAAAATTTTATGTAAATACTGCCTATTAAGTTACTAGACATTCCTGGATTAATACCCCCCCTCCCCGATAATGCCAAAGGAACCAATTTTCGAATTACGGAATCATTCCATCAGCTCCTAGCTCCCAACTCCTATTTTTCAGGCGCCACCAATCGAACGCGTGCTATTTCCTGGAGCAAGAATCCTCCTACGTACGCCATTGTGCGAAAGGAGCACGACCTCACTATCCCCTGAACCATCGACTGGAGACCCCCCAAGACTCGTCGACCCCGGGCACGGCACTGGTATCCCGCTCTGCCTCATGCCAATCGGCCGAGAGCTCGGGATCGGAAGCGGCTGAGCCGGTTGAGGAGGATGAGGTCGAGCTGGTGGCCAGGATGATGGCACGATGCCCACAAACTTCGGCCCTACAACGGCAGGCTTCATCTTCGGATTCGAATGAGAGGAATAGCCCGCAGCCGTCAGTGTCGTCGGCTGGGTTGTCGGTTGGGTGTAATGAGGTGCGTTTAGTTTTTCCTCCGGGCTCTGGCTTAGCTGCGGCTTAAAATTGAGGCTTGGCTGAAGATAGGCTGGGAAATGGGTTTAGCTTATGCTTTGGCTAGGCTTAGGATTACGGTTGGATGATGTTGGAATGCTGTTGGTTTTAAGGTTAGATCAGATTTAGGCTTAGGCTTGAGCTTGGGTTAGGCTTGGGGGTTGCGCGTAGGCTTGGGCTTAGGATGAAGCTTAGTTTCGGCTTGCACTTTTGTCTAAGCTTCGGCTTCGCCGCGTCTTTCTTAGGCCTAGCGTTGCTTGGGCCAAGCCTGGATTTGACGTAGGCTTGGCTTAGGACTGGCTTCGGCAGGTTTAGGCTTGGGTTTTTTTTGCTTAGGGTTAGGCTTAGACTTATGCTTGGCTTAGGCTCAAGGTCAGGCTTAGGCTTAGGTTTAGGCATGGCTTACGTTATTATTAATTTCCGTGGCGCTAGACTAAACTTACTTAACTAAAAATAATAAACCTAATTCTTCCAGGTTACCGACACCGACGACTCAATCGGTCTCGAACTCTTCAAAAAGCGCTCACGATGGGCATCACTTTGTGGTGGTGGAGGGCGACCCAGCGAGGCCCTCGTCCACTTCTACATGGAATTGGCGAAGAAGGTGCTGGTCGAGGCGGGCGGATCTCAGCGGAACGACCACTTCAACCTCCCTCCCAATCAACCCAACAACCCGAATCATCATGCGAACAATCGACGGCTCTACATTGCTTCGTTCCTGATCGGCCTCTATGCGCTGGGGCTGAACAACGAGTTTGTGAACACGAATTGGCAGACGAGAAACTACAGTACGCATGTGTCATGGTTGACCGACCATAGCATGGATATTGGTGGGTTTTCAAGTTTTGAAAATAGCTTCTAAAGGGTCTTGAAAGGATCAGAATCCACCCCTAACTTTTGCTAGGTGTCGACAGGAAACATGCTAAAAATCATCTTTTATCAATATTTTTTCGTCCATTTAAAAAGTTAAAAATGGAATTTTCAGGTGTGGCCGCCCTGGAAATCCTAAAAGACACCTGGCGACGTCATCTGATCCCGCAGGAAGTGGCTATCATCGCGAGCCAAGCGAGCAACAGCCGTGATGCTCAAACAGTGTCACATGGAGCTGAACTGGCCATGTCGGCGTTGTCCGATCTTGCTCTCAAAGATCTGTGTGTGAGAGGCCTATTGCAATGCAGAGCATTCACCACCAACTTTGGAGATGGCATGCCGGGCTGTGGAACAGGTGTGTGGAGTTTGAAAGGCTGGCTTTTTCTCGTTCTCTCGTGCTCACTCTGAGTGTCTTTCTCTTTCTCGCTGTTTCTCTCTCTCTTTCTCTCTCTCTCTCTATCTCTCTCTCTGGCCCGCTACCTCTCCCTCTCTCTATCGCTATCTTTCTCTCTCTTTCTCTCTCTAGCTCTCCCTCTCTCTATTTCTCATCTCTCCCATTCCAGGCTGCCGCTTCAGCTTCTGAAGGTGTCCCCCCAGAAGTCCTTTTCACACGTCTCAAACCCACTGGTATTGCCTCCCTAACAAGCCCGAGACCCCGAGACAAGGCCCATCCACCTCCAACCAGGTATCCTAAGCATTGCCCTCACCTACCGTACCCCAGAACCAGCAACATCCCCCACCACGACCCCGACAGCCATACTTAATTCCCGATGCCGCCCTTCAACGCTCCAGGGTACGGCGGGCCGCTCCCGCTGGGGTATATGGTTAGTGACAATGTTCTTAAGATACTGCATCTGATAAATTTCACCAAATATGCAAATTACCGCCAAATTTCCAGCCGGCCCATCAATTGCCCGCCTTCTTCCACCCGAATTTGCCGCCCCGCTGCCGCCACCAGCAATTTTTGGGCGCGGCGCATCAGCATCGGCCCCATACCGTGTATCTACAGCCTCAACAGCTGCCCCAGGTGTACGCGTAAGTTTTTGGCTACTAGCTACGGCTCAAGCGGGCTTAGGTTTGGTCTTAAGCTTAGGTTTAAGGCTTAGGATTGAGCTTGGGCTTAGGCTTGGCTTAACATGTGCTCAGGATTAGGGGCCAGGGATGCTTATGCGTCGGCTTAGGCTTATGATCAGGCTTAGCGTATGCATCGGCTTATGCTTGGGATTAGGCTTAAGTTTAGGCTTAGCCCATGCTTAGGCTCAGTCTGCAAAAACCTATGCATCCCCACGATTCCAGACCTGCCGGCCCGAGCGACAACTCTCGAGCTCCAATCCACCAGAGCCACTCGGCCCCCTCGCTGCTGCCCTGCCAACTAGCGGGTCCACCTCATCAACCACAACCTCATGATCCACCCCAACAATTTGCCCTTCATCCCCCACCACCACCGTATCCAGGAGACCGGACACCCGAACGGCTAGAGGCTGCGTTTACTACCGGGATCAAGGCGTTGGAGGCGATGGGGAAGAGGAGGTGCCAGGATGATATGAGAAATCCGCTGAAATATGCAAAGGTGGGAGAAAGTGAGAGAGAGAGAGAGCGAGCGAGAGAGGGAGAGAGAGAGAGTGAGTGAATGAGGAGAGAACGATCCCTTCCAGAATTCCATGATGGGCGATGAGGTGATGCTCCTCTCCGGCATTGCCCGCGAGCTTGACATGAAAACCCGCAGCCCGAACGCCTCGTTCTCGGTGGCCTTCTACCGGCTGGCCGCCCGCACCGTTCCCTCGCCCTACGTGCTGCACAAGCTGGCGCTGAACAGCCGAGAGTGAGTGCCAGGTTTCATGCCGTAACGATTTTTTAGATTGGCCCAGCTTTTCCCGCTGACACAGTATCCACAAGGCCAGGGCCCGCCCGCCCATCCACGCTATAACCCGCCGCCGACAAAGCTGCACTACCAGATGTGGAGTCAGGTATGGAAATTTTTAGAAAAAAATCATAGATTCCATATTTTTTGATTTGCTGATCTCTTTAAAACCGGCTTTTTTCCAGATCCGTGTCGCCTTCACCGGCTACTTTCACCCGGTCACCGGCGAGCTGTACGCGGCGTGTCTAGAGGCCTTCTACGCGGCTCTCACCTTCAAGGTGACGCACCCAAGGCTCGGGGACCCGGATAGGGATGAGGCGAATAGACTGGTGATAGAGACGGCGGAGACGATCAAGCAGATACCGCCTCCGAATCTGCAGCATCAGGTAAGGAAAGGATAACTAGAGAATACTCTGCCGGCATGACACATAGGTGACACCACTCGGAACAACAGTTGTGGCACCTGTAGATTATTGAACTGTGCCGCAGCTGTGCTACAGCTGTGTATCCCCCACAGCTGTGCCACCGTTGCGCCCCCGCGCCGCTTATTGTTTTGGAGGCGTTCCTGGAGGTGAAATGGTTTATTCTAGGGCTTTATGATGCTAAATAGTAGCTCTGGTCCAAAAAGCAAAAATAAAATCCTGCGCGGATCCGAACCTTCGTCACTTTGCCCCACGCTTCGCCTAACTCCTTATCCACTAGACCACGATGACACATCGGTCGGGGAGCGGAGGAAGCCTATGAAGGTAGAGCGAAAATTTCAAAGGCTTATAAATTGGTTCATATACACTCCATGCTAATAAAAATTAGTTTGCCAGGTTCAGTTCTTCAAGCTCTATAAGTGTGCCAATCTCAAATCACAGTTTTATGTCCGGTTGGGACCGTCTCCTTGTCGGCCAAAATTAGTGTTAAATCAAAAACCCGAAGTAAATGGAGTCGAAAGCAGTCACGAGAAAACTTCCGACATATAAAACATATATTTTACGAAAATTTTATTTTTGACCCGAAAAAAAAATGACTAAGTCC